AGACGCCTGGAAGACACCCAAGGCAATTAGTGGTGTCCCTTCTCCGCCCCCACATACTTTCGGGGCCTTTGCACTTGCCGTTCCACCTTCTGGCATGTGCAGCCCCCCAGGCCTGAGCTGCTCTCTCCCTCCTGCCAGGCAGGTCTTCGCTTACACGCCACCTCCTCAGAGGGCCCGGCCTGGCTCTCCGTCTGCTCATCAGCTTTATCCTGCTTTCCACAGCTTTGCACTCCTGGGCACGGTGCTCTGCGTTTCTGGATCTGTCTGGCACCTGTCTCCCTGCTGGCACACACCATGAGCGGCACGAGGCTCCATAACCACAACCACACTCTTGGAGCCTCGGGCGGAGCCTGGCACACAGCTGGCACTCAGTCAGTATTAGTGGAATGACGGCTGCTTACCCTCCCCTTCCTCCCCATGTCCATCCTCTCCTTCCTCCTCCTTCCTCTCCTGCCCCCATCTTGCCTGCCTCCACCGTAAGCAGGAAAATGAGGGTTATTGCTGGCCTGCTCTCCTCCATCTCCCATTCCTGCTCTCCCTCACGGGTACCTCTCTCTCACCTGCAGCTGCCCTCTGCCAGCTCTGGTCCGATGGGTGCACAGCACCCAGGTGCAGGCAGCCCAGATGATGGTGGGGAAATGGAGAATTTCGGGGGAGTGAGGCTGTAAGGAAGGCAGGGTTCCGTCTCCAAAGCAGCCCATTATTCGAGGCAACTTTCAGCACCCACGACCCAGCTCCCCGTCTTTCCCATGGGAGCTGATGTCACCAGTATGGGACTCAGCCCCTCCCTCCTTTTCACTCTGTGCTTCCTCTCCTCAGCCCTGACGGACAGTATCCAACTGTACCCCCAACCCTCGTCCTCTCCTTCCCGGACTCCGCTGCTTCCTTGTGTGATAAATTGGATAGAGAGTGTCCACTGTGTGCCAGGCCCCACGCCGGCACTGCCCCACCCCTGGTGTGGGATCCCCTTGCTCCTTCTCTTCTCTGCCCCTTCCCTCACCCCCTCGGAGCTCCAGCACTCCCGTGGCAAACGATCAGATAGTCCACACCTGGTGCCCCCCCTTTCCCACGTGTTTCCCAGTGTGAGGGCGGGAGCTGTGTCTTATCCTCAGAGACCCAGGAGAAGCTGATCCAGGCCAACAGCTTCCTTTCACGGAGGTCAGATCTCCTCCCACCCCCCACCTCCACCTTCATCCATACATCCCATTCCATTCCATCCACCTGGTCCCGAGAGAGAAGAGATCCTACCTAAATGGGTTGAACAACAACTGTGCAACCACAGTGCATGGGAGGCGCATGCCGGAGGCTGGGGATTGGTGGGCAGGGACGGACCCACAGACCCACAGACCCGAGTCCCTGCTTCCAGCGGAGCCTGTCCACGTCTGCCCCGTGTCTGAGAGGCGGCAGGCTCGTAGAGCCCATGTAGGTAGAATATAACTTTCCATAAATAACCCCTCGCCTGACCTACAATTTAGCCTGGGAGGTTTTTTCCCCTCGTGGTAACGGGATGGTAGCCCGGGCTGATCCCTCCTGGGTCTCCGGGTCCCAGGAAGCTGAGCTGGGTGGCCCTGGTGGGAGGCACTGCTTGGCACGCCTGGCCCCCCCGCGTGGCCGGGCGCGCACGGAGGACTCAGTACCCGTTGAGAAATGCTGGACGGAGTCTTGTTCCCCATAAGCAGCCACACGTCTTCAGACCCCGGGCCTCTGCCTGGGCTGTGTCTTCGCCTAGAATGTCTGTGCTCCCTTCTCCACCTGCTGAGCCTCTAAGCAGCTCCCACCTCCGTGAACCTTTCCCTAAACTTGATCCCTTGTCCCCACCACAGAGCCAGTTACTCCTGCCTTTGATGCCATAACACTTTGTACGGAACAGTGCGACCGGGTCATGTGCCCACGTGCCCAGCAGGCGCTGAGCAGCTTGAATGAATGAGTGTCTGGGCAGGGAACGGACCCTTTGATGCCTCCGTTTCCTCAGATTCAAACACAAACATGGCTCCAGAGCCCGTGTTTCAGCCACCGGACCACACTGCCTCTGGGAGCTGGATAACGTGTCCATTTCCTACCTGCTCTCGTGTCCTGGGCTCTGGGGCGCTCGCACAAAGCCTGGGTTCCCTGCAGGGACTCCCTGAGGCCTCCCAGGGCCTGGAGGCAGAAACACACAATGCCGCCTGCATGGACTTGTTGATGATGATCCTGGACTCGGGAGAGTTCATGGGGAGTGAAAGCGGTAAGTCACCAGGGCGGGCCTCAGCTTACTTTGGGGGGGGGCGGGGGTAAGGTGGGCTCTTAGGGTGCGGTTCCCCCACGTTGGGCTGGACTTGATGTAAAGCTTTGCAATTGCTTGACCCTCCTTATGGCAACTGAAGAGAACTTCCTGAGGCTCCGCAAGCACCCGGCCCCATGAGAGCCGTGCAAGGCGCTGTGCCCACTTATATCTTCACGAGGGAGGCCTCACACTCCTGTCTGGGGACCGGCCTGGCTGAGCTCCCAGGGAGCTGGTCCTGAATGGGACGTGGCTTTGTGTCCATCCCAGTACTGAGCAGGGTGTGGCCGGATGAGGCAGGTGGTCCATGAATGAAGGTCAAACAGAAGACATAGAATCAGGGGCTCGGATAAAAGGGGTCTGGACATGTGAGGAGAGGAGGATCCGTGGGGATGGAAACATCCCGGGGAGGTTCAGGGAAGAGCTGACAAGGAACACGGACCCCCTAGAAAAAGCAGGTGCTGTGGGGGGTTCGGGCAGGTGGCGGGCTAAGGAGTAGGGATCATCCACCCGGCCTGGGGCACTTGGGACCCTGAAGGAAGCTTGGGGGTGTGGGGGATGGGACTGGAGCCGGCAAAGCCTTAGAGGCCAGACCGAGAAGCCTGCACTGGATTGTGGGAAGGAGCAGCTGTTAAGGCATTCTGAGCGAGGCTGTGGCAGGTTGAGAACAGTGTTTTGTGTTTTTTTGTTTGTTTGTTTGAAATATATTTTATTTAGTTTTTACAGAGAGGAAGGGAGAGGGATAGAGAATTAGAAACATCAATGAGAGAGAAGCATCGATCAGCTGCCTCCTGCACACCCCCTACTGGGGATGGATGTGCCTGCAACCAAGGTACATGCCCTTGGCCAGGATCCAACCTGGGACCCGTCAGGTCAGTACTCAGGCCGATGCTCTATCCACTGAGCCAAACCGGTTTTGGCGAGAACAGTGCTTTTGAAACAATGGGAAGGGCCGGCTGCTTGAGGGAAATGAGGCTGAGGTTGTGACAATGGATGAGTGAAGTAATGAGGTCTAGGTTTGGAAAGGAAGGGCCGAACATGACTTTTCAAAGCAAGGGAATTGCCACACGGCCACCCTGGCGCAGACAAAGGTGTGTCACCGCGATGTTAACTTTGACAGCAATGACTGTGTGTGGTTGACAAAACTGAGACCACATCCTCTCGGTAACGACTCATTGTCTTTATTAACAATTCCTCTGGACTCCGAAAGGACAGACCAGTGGTATTTCATAAAGCAACATTAACATTGTCCTTCTCTACAAGAAAAACGTTTGCATAAATAACTTAAGTGAGAAAATAAATACGTAACTTAACTTTAAAAAAAAAAAAAAAAAAAACCACAACTTTCATTCCTGTGGACAAACCCCACATGAAAGATGCAAAAAAAAAAAAAAAAAAAAAAAAAAAAGACCAGCCCTGCAGGCTTTCACATGGCATGTGCTTCTGTTTAAAAAAAAATAATAATAATAAAATAACAAGTACAAACTACACAGAAAGGAAGAGGTGTCTGAAGGCGATTTTCAAAAAGGTTTTTGGATGGCAGCTACTGGCTTAGTGATTCATCAGCTTATGTACAGCTCTTGTCATCCCCACTCCCCTCCCCCCAATAATATTATTTGAATGTAAGCTATGCCGTCCCATCAAACAGCAGTAAAAAGCGATGTTCCAGGCAAAAACGTGTCCGTGAGTGGTGGGCAGGAGGAGGTGACTCGGGAGGGAGGTGGTGGCCTTTGAAAGAGTGTGGGTCATCCTTTGGGCCTGTGAGCCCAGTGTCCTGGGACCTTGAGCTTCTGTCTTAACAGAAGGCGACTTTAAAACACGGCCTTGGGGAGGGGAGGGTGCTACTCTTTGGGAAGCAGGAGGGTGATTTCTGTCCCTCCCTGGGGGCCTACTCTTCCACTCCACCAGCTGATGGCGCTTCTGCACCCTTTGCGATGGAGGGGCGGCAGCCCACCACCTGGGGCGGCTGGGCTGGGAGACAGCTCAGCATCTTTCAGGAGTCTGGCAGCCAGAAACGGACCCTTCTCCCACCCCTCCCCCACCCCCCCACCCCCCGCTAGGTTTTCATCTTTGGGTGTCAGATCGGAAAATTACAACTGGGGGTTCTGGACACGACCAGCCAGACAGTGATTCCATCCAGCCTCTCTCTTCCTGCTCCTTGGAAAGCCACCCAAGTCCCTGGAATCCGGTGGCAGTAGATTCCTTGAGATCCTCATCCCATCCCCACCTGCACTTCACAAATAGGAGGTCAAGGTTCAGAAAAGGAAGAATGTAGCCCGCGGTCACCCAGAAAGTGAGCGGCAGAACCAGGACCAGAAGCCCTCTCTGAGAACCCAAGTCCTGTGCTCTTGGCACAGCTTGGCACTGTAGAGTGGGCAGAGTTGGGGGGGTCTTACTGACCTTTCATAACCAGTCCCCAGACTTTTCCCACGCCCCAGCGCTCCCTAAACCCCAGGGCTTCCTCTTCTGCCTGCTCGGAAGTGGGAACTGCCAAGGGAGGTGGCGCTGGCGGGCGGGGCTGCATGGCTCAGTGTCTGTGACTCTCAGCTCCCTCGCCCGCCCGGAGGGACCCCCTCGGCGGTGGGGAGGGTGGGGCTTTGCAGGCAGCCGGGGCCCACCGGGCCTAGAAACAGGCCTGAGCCCCTGCCCTGGGTCGCAGGCATTTACAATGAAATACGGACACTCGGACCGCGCGCAGAGGGCAGGGGCGCCCGCCGGGGAGGCGCGGCCGGCGGCGGCCCTAATAGGCGTTCTCCAGCTCCGCCTGGTTGGCCTTGGCGCCCCGGGCGCGGGGCCGCGGCTTCCGGCCCTTCTGCGGCCGCGCGGCCTCGGGCCCGAAGTCCTTGAGCTCCGACCGGTTGTGCGAGCGGGAGAGGCGCTTGCACTTGCACGAGGCCACCAGGCGCACCTTGCGCGCGCGCGGCGCGGCGCCCCCGGGGCACAGCAGCTGCACCCGCTGCGCGCGGAGGCGGTCGGGGATGCAGCGGAGGTCCGGCCCGTCCGGGCGCCACCACTTGCCGCGGCCGATGGCGTTGGGCAGCAGGCGCGCCGGGCCGCACTGGCCGGAGCACACCAGCTCGGTGACCGGCTTGGCGCTGCGGCACGGCCCGTCGGTCACGTAGCGGGTGACGTGCAGCTCGCGGCAGCTGTACTCGGACGCGTCTGCGGGGAGAGGCGCGCGTGAGGGCGGAGCCCGCCCCCCCCCTTCCGGGCCGGCCAGCTCCCTCCCCGCCGCCTCGCCGCCCCCAAACCCGCCTCTCCCCGGGCGCTTTTGCCTCTGGACTTCTGTTATGGGAAGGGCCCAGCTGGTGGAAAGATTGCCCCTAAAACTTTGGAGTTCTTCCTTTCTTCCTTCCTTCCTTTCTTCCTTCTTTCCTTCCTTCCTTCCTTCCTTCCTTCCTTCCTTCCTTCCTTCCTTCCTTCCTTCCTCCCTCCCTCCCTCCCTTCCTTCCTTCCTCCCTTTCTTTTTTTTCCTGCGATTCAAATACCGGGTCCATCCCTGTGTGACCTTGGGGAAATGACTTAACCTCTCTGTGCTTGCTGTCTGTAAAAGGGATTGTCCTGAGGATTCCATGAGTGAATCCATTACATAGTGTACAGTGCAGGGGCCACCACCGAGCACACGGTGAGAGCTGGCAGTGCTGGCTGTGACGTGTCATTATTGCTCTCCGAGCGGGACCTCTTGGCTATGCTGAAGTCACACTGATGCCATAGGGCCCCTGACCTTGGCAAGGCTGATACTGGCCGCACAATGTGCAAGCCTCTGGCGTCCCCAGAATTCCTTTTCCAGACGCTGGGGAGGGGCGGGGAGGTGCTGGAGAGAGGAGTGGGGGTTAATTGAAGGTGATAAATCAGGACAGCTGCTGCGGAGGGGAGGGATGGAAAGGAGGAAGAGAGGGGAGGAGACCTCATTAGACTTGAAAGGAGCCAAAGGCGGCATGTCCAGCCCCCTCCTCTGCACGGAGAGCACTGGAGCCCAGAGAGGGAAAGGCACTTGCCCGAAAGGCAGAGCTGGGGCCCAGCACCGCTTGGCTCCCACGTGGGTGGCAGCTGTGAGCCCAAGCTGGCCTGGGGGGGGAGGGGAGAGGGAGAGTGGGGGTGCTTTTTGCTATAGTTACTCCCCTACCGGAGAGGGACCCAGCTCCGGCTGAAAACCTACAGGTTCAGCTGCCACCAACATGTAAGTGCCTGTTGGGTACCAGGTACTCTGCTGGGCACATCTCTCGTGTGTGCCATTTGGATGGCCACCTGGCAGTGGACCAGGCTTGCTTTCTGGTGGGGGGAGACTGTTCTCTGAGGCCTGACTCGGTCCCCGGAAGTCACCTGGAGGATGCCTCCTGTCGTGGGCTTACATGGTTGGGAGCTTTTTTCAATAGCTGGTCCTCCTGTGAGCACCTGCCCATCCCAAGGGGCTCATGGGGCCGTTCCCATGTGACACCGAGGGATGGGAATAGTCCTAAGACCACACCAGAGAGGGGGGCAGAGGAGGCCGGGCTGCCGCCCGCAGGCACGGAGCTGTGGGTTCTGCCTTCCTCCGGGGGCTGGCCTTCTGGCTTCGGGATTGGCTTGGCTTCCTCTCCTGCTCCCGGCTGCGGGGTGGTGAGTGTGGGTGGCTTATTTGCCCAGGGAAGAGGCTTTGGGGCTGTCCAAGAATACCGCCCGAGGCCAGGCACTTCCTCTGCAGGGGGTGACTTTGTTTGGAACCCATGGCTCCCGTGGGAGCCCAGGGCAGTGGACACCTCCTCCTGGGGCCCTGTGGCCCCATGGGCGTGAGGCTGGGAGGGACGGGAGGCGGGAGCCTGGGAAGCAGGCTCGTCTCCCACCTGGGCCCTGGCCTGAGGGCAGGGAGGCCCTCCCTCGGAAGGCTCGGCCCGCCCCCGCCCCTAGCCATTCCTGCCAGCTGCAGAGCCAGCTGTGCACAGCGCCCCACCCCCCAGACTCCTCTGTGCAGACCTGGCCAGGAGCCCAGGTGTGCCCTCCACGGGGCCGGGGCCGTGACTTTTTGCCAGGGTCAGGCTCCCTCCCCAGGAATGGGCAAGGCCGGATCTAAGGTGGAGGCACAGGATGGATGCTGGGTTCAGCAGGCACCTGTGTCTGCTCCCTGCACGGAGGAGGCTGCTGCTGCCCCCCTCAGCGGCCGCCCACCTCAGAGGCTAACACGGTGCCTACACTCCCATCCGAGGGCCAGCTCGCGGGGCAGACCCTGCGCAGGGGGAGCTGATGAGGCGTCTCTCTGTCATCCCTCCCCACCGCTTTGGGGCATTTGCTTTGGTTTTTTGATCCCTAAACCCCACCCGTCACCCCCCACCAGAACTGCCTTGGAATGGGATCAAACTGGGTCCGAATCTCAGTCCTAATCACGACCAGACTGCTTAGCCTTCTGAACCTCTACTTCTTCCCCTTCCAGCTGGGAGTTCACCTCGTGGGGCTCCCACGTGGACCGTCCTGGGGGGTAGCACATGCACAGCCCATACAGAGCATCTGGCCTCCACCGAGAGCTGATGGCTGTGAGGTCCCTGGCCTTGTCCTGCCCCCAGGGATGCTGGCAGCTGCGCTGACTCCTGGATCTCAGGAAGGGGTTCCCTGGCACCTTCTCCTTTCCCATCCTGCCCAGGCTTCCTCTCCTGCTCCGGGCTGCGGGGTGGTGAGTGTGGGTGGCTGCCAGCTGCCAGCCTCCAGTCTGTGCACTCCATTCCAGGGCTCCATTGGCATGCTATCCTTCCCTGCCTCGAGGCAAGACTGTCCTTCCACCCAGTGCCAGCAGCACCAGAGGGTCTACCCCAGCCTTCAAAGTGCTCTCTTCCCTCCCACCCCCATACCTTTGGTCTCAAAGGGGTGGTGGGGAGGCCTCCCTCCGTTCTCTGCCCGGTTCATGGTCTTGTTGTTCTCCAGCTCCGGTGGGGGCTCCGGGTACTCGCCCAGCTCTGGGATGATCTCCGTGGCATCGTTCTTGAAGGCCTGCCACCCCTGGGCCTCCACCGCACGGAAGGCCGCGTGCACCAGCAGGCAGACGAGACACAGGGCGAGAGAGAGCTGCATGGTGCCAGCTGGAGGAGGGCACCTGGCCTTCCAGTAGCACAGGCTCCGGTCCCCAGCCCGGGCATGTTTGCCTTTTTAAAGCCCCCTCTGCCTCGTGCCAGCCAATGACAGGCCGGGGCAGGGCTGGCCCCATGCTTCCCTCAGCCCAGGGGGAGGGAACAGGGTGTGCTCAGAGCGAGCCCTCTCCAAAGACTTCTCTCCTCGAGTGCAGCAAACTCCCAAATTGCTGCCGGTGCTCCCGGTGACCCCGGGGCGGGGGTGGGGGCGGGGGTGGGAGGGTGGCTTGAGCCTGCTCTCCAGCACCTCCTCTGCGCAGGCGGCTGTGGTTTTCAGATATCAAAATGAGCCCAGCCCTTAATCTCCACTTCCCTGGGCCCCTTGGGCTTTCTCAAAACAAGCTTTGCACCAGCTTAACCAAGAAAGCTGCCATTCTGAGTTCCCCCACAGGGCTGAGCCCCACGGATCCCAAGTTCATGTGTAACCCCAACAAATGGCCCTACGGTGTCTATTTGGCCCCCACAGACCCAGGCAGAGGCAGAAGGGAACTTTTAAAGAAATCTTACTAATCTCGGTGTCCATCCCACGAGGCTCAGCATCGATGCAGCTGGCCAAGAAAACCCCTCTTGGCGTCTTTGGGAAGGCGAGGGAGGACACCGAGGGCCGCCCGTGTGGCCAGGGGATGGGATTCTGATTGCCAGGCAGGCTCGCAGGCGCTGGCAATGGAGCTGAGAGAGGAAACCCCAGCTCATGCTCCGCAGAGATCCTGCCCGCGGGGACAGGCACTTTTTGGCCAGCACACTCGCGGTGGCTTGCAGGCAGGTGTCCCAAAGGCAGTCATTTATTTCCCCGGTGAGGGCTGACACTTTCTCCCACGTCTCCCAGCCCATTTCATGTTTCAAAACCAGCTTTGCGTCCTCTCTGGGGAATCTTCCTGGTGCCCACCGACCACTGGGCACGTTCCAGGAAGCCCTCCCAGGTCCGGCCAGCCCCGGAGAAACCCAGAGGGACCGCTCCCCGCAGCCGCGGGGCAGAATGAGGGGCCTGGGAGGGGCAGAGGCGGGAGGAGTTCACACCTGAGGTGCAGGAAGAGAAAGGAGGCAGCCGCTCCCCGCCCTGGAGGAGGCTGGGAAGAGGGCTGTGGCTCAGGCCCCCTCGGCATGTCCACGGGGCCATGAATCAGCACGCCCCACCTGCAGCACATCTGCACGGCCTCCACCACCTGCCCCGACTTGTGAGCCTGTGGTGTGTCCATCTGCGGCCATCGGTCCCTCCTCCTCTCCATCATCCATCACTCAGCACATGAAGGCAGCTGCCCTGACAGTTTTACAAGCCAGACAGAAGCCCCTGCAGGAAGGGCCCTCGCTGATACCTGCTTCCTCCGTCTTTCCTCCGGGGCAGACGAAAACAGCTGTGGCCATTGTTGGGGGTGATCTATCTCTCCCAACAGAGCCTGGTGTGTTGTGAGAAGCTGGTCCTTCGTGCCCCCTCCCCTGTCTGTGACCCTCCAGCCTCCTTTCCCCTGGCTCTGGAATGTGCACCGTTAACCCTGTGGTGGCCGGACAATGGCCTTCCTTGTCCTGGACTTTGGAGAGGGCTGTCCTGCTGCCCAGAGACCCCGAGCTGCCGGGATTGATGCTGGAGCCCCACCTGCTGTTGGAAGCCGTGAACTGGAGACACAGGGACCATCCTTGGGACACTTCTGCCACCTGCTGGTGGTGGAGGGAGAAGCCAGCTACCGGAGGATGGCGAAGGTCAGGATTTTATTTCATTATTTTTAACTTGATCTTAGCCAAAAGGCCGAGAAGCGATTTTACTTCATTTTTTTAAATTTTTTATTTATTTATTTTTTAACATGTAAGTTTTTTTTATTTTTTTTCCAGTTTTAGTTAGATATATTTATACTAGTTATTAAGCCGGTTTTTTTTTTTTTTCTTTTAAAATATATTTATTGGTTTTCCAGAGAGGAAGGAGAGGGATAGAGAGCTAGAAACGTCGATGAGAGAGAAACATCGACCAGCTGCCTCCTGCACACCCCCTACCGGGGATGTGCCCGCAACCAACGTACATGCCCTTGACCGGAATCGAACCTGGAACCTTTCAGTCCACAGACCAATGCTCCATCCATTCTGAGCCAATCCGGTTTCAGCGCGATTTTATTTCATTATTTTATTTGAAACTAATGTTGAGAGAGAGAGAGAGAGAGAGAGAGAGAGAGAGAGACAGATTGAAGAAGCCAGTGGACTTGAATCTCTAAATTATCTCCAAACGTTTGATGTATTCTCTGCCAATGGAGTGCCATGCTTTCCACAGATTGGTTCCAAGGCAACCCGAGTAGGATGCCATCTGCTGTTTGTTTTAAATCCTCACCCCAGGAAATGCTTCCTTTTTTGGTTTTTGTTTCTATTAGTTCTCACTGAGGATATTCTTTCCATTTATTTTTATAGAGATTGGAAGGGAGAGAGGGAGGGCCGGGGGAGAGAGAGGAATGTCAGAGTGAGAGAGAACGTCGATTGGTTGCCTTCCACATATGCCCTGCTGGGGATCGAACCTGCAACTTTTCAGTAGATGGGACAATGCTCCAACCAACTGAGCTCCACTGGCCAGGGCACCATCTGCTTTTTTTTACTTAACATCAGTTCAACTTCATATTTACCCGCAAGCTTGCCGTTCAGAGCTACACAGCGCTGCGGGAGGCAGGCCCCTAAGGTTTTAGCTGACTTCTGTTGTGGGCAGGTTAGGTTATATCCAGCGTTCCCCTATCCTTGTGAACATCCTGCACAAGGGAATTCTTCAAAGTAAACTTCTAATTTTTTTTTTTAATATATTTTATTGATTTTGTACAGAGAGGAAGGGAGAGAGATAGAGAGTTAGAAACATCGATGAGAGAGAGTCATCAATCAGCTGCCTCTTGCACACCCCCTACTGGGGATATGCCCGCAACCAAGGTACATGCCCTTGACCGGAATCGAACCCGGGACCCTTCAGTCCCTAAGCCGACGCTCTATCCACTGAGCCAAACCGGTCTCGGCTAAACTTCTAATTTTGAGATAATTGTAAACGTACATGCACTTGTAAGGAACAATTGTTCTAGGATATACTTAATAGTGGCTTCCTCTGAGGAGGACTGAAGGTTTGGGGTAGGAGATTCAGTTTTCATGTATAAGCCTTTTGTATTGTTTGAATTTATTACTATGTATTACTTAACATGTTTCAAAAATTATACATTAAAAAAAAACACACTCACTTTTACCAGTGTTACATCTTAGTGCTCTGCCTCAAGATTTAGTGTCAAAATATAAAGATTGTGTTGCTACAGTGGACTGACAAATAGTGCGTTAGCCTACGTGCCTCTCCATGAAGGCTAGGAGGCTCTTTTGCTGCCCAGACTTTGGGGATAAAGGCACCCAACTCCGAGTTGTTTATTCAGGGGGGAAAATGGATTTTTTTTTTCTTCCATTTTGGTGCTTACGGTAGGGGGAGCATGCTAATGGTGGGACTTAAAGCGTCTGGGATCGGGGATATGTCTTGGGACTGGCCCTTTGCAGGATAACAAGCCCTAGAATGCCACCCCATCATCTTCACGTGAGGCTACCTTGAGACTGTCACCCAAACCCCTGCTTCCTTAGAACCATAAACCTCCCCACCCTCATTAGGGGCGGGCCCTTGCACTCAAGAATATTCCAGTCTATTATACATCAATAAATCTGAAAATTTTAAATGAAATAAGTAAAAAGACTCGCTCACACAGGACATTTCTGGTCCTGGAGGGATGCTCATCAAAAACCTACTGTCTAGCCGAAATCGGTTTGGCTCAGTGGATAGAGCGTCGGCCTGCAGACTGAAGGGTCCTGGGTTCGATTCCGGTCAGGGGCATGTACCTGGATTGCGGGCATGTCCCGGTAGGGGGCGTGCAAGAGGCAGCTGATCGATGACTCTCTCTCATTGATGTTTCTAACTCTCTATCTCTCCCTTCCTCTCTGTAAAAAATCAATAAAATATATATTTTTTTTTAAACCTGCTGTCTAATCATCAGTGTGGAACCTATAACGAGCTCGGGAGGGTCGATTTTTAGATGATTCTTTTTGAAAGTTAGAAAAAGCAAACATAAAAGGTAGCTTAAAGCAACCGACTGTGATAGGGACCAACAACGAGACCATTTCTTGGTAATATAAGACATTTATTTTGGTTACAGTATTAGTATTTTAACACTGATTTGTGATCTAACAGACATTAAACTTCTTTTAAAAAACAAACAGTACCTTTCCCTTTCCTGTCCAGAAAATTCACACTTTCACAACCAAATTACCCTGAAAGCTGACAGGAGAGAAGGGAGGCTTCCTGCCAATCTGCTCTCTCCGCCGGAGACAGCCGTTAGGCCAATCGGAATAACATCTTGAAACGGAAGGCCCATCGCTGTTGGCGCTTCAGTGATACATGACACCGGTTTTATGACAGGAAATCTCCTGCGAGAAAAGCTTATATCTTTGTTATAAGATCAGTGCTTATTCTGACTAACACAGTAGCATCTATTACATTAACTTGTGACACAAAAGGCACCAACGTTCATTTTCGAACCATCCATCACCCCGGGTGGGACGCAGCGCCACCTGCCGGTCACCGTCTCATGACGCACCCTCTAACTTCCTGGTGGTGGTCAATGCCAAGTGGGCATTCTCAGCAAACCCTAGCGTCAGAGCCAAAGGGACCTTCTAGAGGACTCCCCTTGTTCTGTAGATGCTGATTGACGCTCTCCGGGCAAGTCAGAGAGGCAGGGAGACAGACCCGCCTGTGGCATGCGCACTGCTTTAGAGAGAGGAGACCCTTGGTGCTCAATGTGGGGGTCTGCAAGTCGAAGAAAAGGATCGGGTCAGGGGAGGGAGTGAGGGCACCCTGAGTTCCTATCCCATCGCTTCCCAGGGGTGAAGCTGTCCAGAAACAGCTTCCCCTCAGCGCTGGGCACGTGTTGACTCTTACACGATAGAATTTGATGTGACTTCCTCAAAGAACTAGGAGCTAAATCCTATGACGTAAATATGGGGATTCTGAGACTAAAAACTATCAAGCAATCCAAGTTACCAGCATAAAAGTAGTCCCAACGTAAAGGCAGTAATTCTCCCACTGACAGTTTCCCCTCAGGGCCCCACGGACAGGCCTTCCAGGGCTCCTGCGTGGCTGTGGCTGTCCTGTGGGGTGACCACGGCCTGGTGTGGGGGGGAAGCCTGGGCCCCACATCCTGAGCCTCTCCCAGGAGTGGAGCAGGAAGCTCGGACGTAGGGATGCCACATGTGTCCTGAAGAAGTCACACTGTCGAACCCAATCCTGTACTTCCTGTTCCTGGAGCCCGGATGGCTTTGTGCCAACCTTGTCTTGCCCTCCTCTAGGTCTCCCTTGGCACCTCACTCGAATCATTGTGCTCTGTCCACAAAGCTAACTGGCCCTTGCACACATGGGCTGGGTCAAGGGCAGGGGCTGCACACCTGGACACGGCCTGTAGGGGGCGGGGAAGAGAGGACTCATTTATTGAGGAGGAGTGTCGTAGGAGAGAAAGAATTCAGTTTTCAGGAAGCAGCAAACCTGAAATATGGCATCCATTCTTCCTTACACTGGGCAACATAGGGCGTCATGTCCTTAATCACCGTGAACCCCGGCTCCTTTTTCTTGTAAGGGAACAACACCACACCAACGAGGGTTATTGTGAGGATCAAGTGAGAGTTAAGTGGGAGGGTTATCTGAAAACTGAGGTACAGAGTTTCGATGATGGCCATTTCACTTGGGTGGCTCTATCTGGGCAGCCAGCCTCTGAATAAGATCCTGGTTTGTTCGGTCGGGGCTGCTGTGGGCACGGAGAAGAGCGCAGTCCAGGCTGCGCAGTGCTGCCCCTGCTGGTCAGGCTGCGCAGTGCTGCCCCTGCCGAGATAGAGACCTTGCCGCCTGCGAGTGAGTTCCAAAGGCACTGCCTGCTTCTCCCTGTCCTGGCAGAGAGCGAGCTCCTGGTCGACTGAGAAAGGCACATTCCACACCTCCCCGCGTTAACAGTGCCTGGATTTAAACTTAAAAGCAACTTTAAACATTCCACAGAAGTCCCTGATAGCTCACGTCCGGCAAGACCCCTTTGCAAGTCTTTGCAAGTGATCCTACCACACATTCAGGATTCTGGGAGCTCGATACACCCACAGAACAATGCCCTACGTATATGTGGTGCTCAAAAAAAGAAAATAAAAAAGTTTAATTCCACAGACTTCTAACGACACCTAGGTGCTGGGTGGTGGGGGCGTGGCTGTTTGGGAACCTGGGTACAGCACGGTGTCGCTCTCCATGACGACAATCATGCAAAGTTCTAACGAGGCTGCTGAGGAGAAAACCCTGTTTTCTGACAAATGGGCGCACACATGTGTGAGCTAGTGCATTCCTAAAAAAAAGTTGTTTTTGTTTGCTTGCTTGCTTGCTTGCTCTACCACCAATAAAGGCTCCATTTGGCCTCTCCGTCACGCTGCATTTCTGCCCGGCTGAGTCGTTTTTGCTCCGAAGTGCCCAGGATCTTTTCTGGCATCAGAGAGCCAGAACGACCTGACGGTGGGCTGGGTGTGAGCCTGGAGCCGTTCATCTCTGTGTTCGTCCATCCTTTGGCTGTGTTTCTGAGACACACTCTCCCCTACACACACACACACACACACACACACACACACCCATACACACACTCACCCATACACACACACCCATACACACACCCATACACACACACACACACCCATACACACACCCATACACATACACACCCATACACACACCCATACACACACACCCATACACACACACACACACACACACACACACACTCTGTAATTGGCCAACTTCCTCCTCCTGTTCTTGGAATAGCAACCGAGACAAAAAGCAGCTAGCGCGAGTGTCCTGGGCTCGCCAACACTATACTTCAGGACAAAACCCTTGTAATTCTCCAAATGGTGGGTTTTAAATAGGCTGGACTGCAACACCCTGTTTTCTAAAAAAGAAAATAAACTGTGCCCCAGGCACCGCTCTTCCAACAAGCCAGGTAACCGGGCGCAGTCCCAGCGCAATGTCCCCGCAGGCTCGGACCTCCGGCCTCCCAGGGTTCACCTTTTAGAAACTGCTGATTCAGGAGAGGCCTCCGGGGGAGACCGTTTGCCCGCCTGAGGGCCTCTTTGTCTGTCTGGGCATCTTTAATCTGAAGGGAACGGTCCAAATGTGGTCTCTCCGTGGGAATTTCTCCACTCACAACGGACGGCTCCCCCACGCCAGCCTCACACTTCACGGAGTGCCTCTGCCTACAAGCAGGAGCCAGGGGGAGACACATGGGGGTGAGGGGGCCCGAGTTTGCATAGTTCCGTTACAAGGCCGGAGGTGCTACACTCCCCACTCAGCACAGGACCCAGGGGTAAGGAGTCGGGGCGGACAGGAGGCCCCTGTGAGTGTCTCAGCTCTCACACGTCCACAGACCTGCCCTGGCTCACCCAGAAGCATGCATGTCACAGGTCTTCCCCCTCCACGACCCTCCCTCCAGGAGAGGACACCGTGGAGCAGGCACAGGACACACCAGGGAGCAAGACTGTCCCTTAGCAAGCTTCTTTATGTGTTCCCAGGGGGAAAGAGGCCCAGGGCCGTGTTGGAACAGATTTGTGGGCAAGTGCCTAATGATGCTGGGAGCAGGGTACATTGTGTTTCCTAAACGTGGCAGCTAGGGACGCCTCCACCAGGGCTCCGGAGAAGAGGCCGTGGGGGTGTCCTAGAGTTTCAGCCTCCCCTCCTTGACTAGTCTGTCATTGAGCTGGCAGAGCTGGGCCAGGAACCCGTCATTGGGGCCGATCTCACGGTTCTGTCTCACGATGCTCAGGGCAGACTTGACGTCCATCTTCTGGCGCATCATGAGGTACGCGATAACGAGAGTTGGGGAGCGGCTGTACCCCTCGCGGCAGTGAACCAGCACACGGCCTGCAAGAAACGGGGGGACACGGTGAGCTGGAGCCATCCAATCGCACCATGACTCCAGTTAAAATTCTTCCAGCTGCTGCAAATGACAAGTATAAGGCGAGGAGGCCCTTCTGGGCCCACCAGAACGGCTCACATGAGAAAGACAGAAAACACAAAGCGTCCGTGTGGATGCAGAGCAGCCAGGACGCTGGCGTGCAGCTGGGGCGGCGGTGCAAGTTGGCACATCACTGTGGGAAACGGAGCAGCAGTAGCTACCCAAGCTGGACCCATGCAGCCCCGATGGCCCAGCAATCCCGCCCCAGAGCCACACCCAGCAGGAATGTGCACCCACGTTCACCAAGAGATGTGCACCGGAACGCTGAGAGACAGCACCATTCACAACAGTCCCCGTGCGGGGACTCCCCAAGGCTCATCCACGGCAGGATGGATAAAGAACAAGAATGCACAATCCTGCCGAAACCGGTTTGGCTCGGTGGATAGAGCATCAGCCTGCGGACTGAAAGGTTCCCGGTTCGATTCCAGTCAAGGGCATGTACCTTGGTTGCAGGCACATCCCCAGTAGGGGGTGTGCAAGAGGCAGCTGATCAATGATTCTCTCTCGTCAATGTTTCTAACTCTATCCCTCTCTCTTCCTGTCTGTAAAAAATCAATAAGAAAAAAAGAATGTACAATCCCCCAAGCACATCAGTCTCGCAGCCGGCGAGCCACGTTTGACCTGCTTGATGAAGTTATCAGAAACCACCTGGATGAGATACACCAATAGGAGGTGCATAATACCGCAGATTAGGAGAGCAGCCTGGCTGATGTATACCGTTAGAAGCTGGATAGTGATAAAAAGTTAGGAGCAGAGGGATTTAAGGCTGGACACGTGGTAGACTTTCTGGGGAGCTGGTTATTATCTCTTGATCTGGAAGATGGTACATGGGGGGGTGCAGTGCACCGATTTACATACTTGTGACACGGCCACTTCTCCGTCATGAACCTTGTGTTTCAGTCCAAAGCAAAACATGGAAACAACCTGAATGTCCATCAACAGGTGAATGGATAAACAAATTGTGGTACAGCTGTATGACCAAATACCACTTAGCGTTAAAAAGCATGGACTATTGCCCTGGCCGGTTTGGCTCAGTGGATAGAGCATTGGCCTGCAGACTGAAAGGTCCCAGGTTTGATTCCCGTCAAGGGCATGTACCTCGGTTGCGGGCACATCTCCAGTAGGGAGTATGCAGGAGGTTGCCTGATCTGTTTCTCTCTCTTTGACATTTCTAACTCTCTATCCCTCTCCCTTCTTCTCTGTAAAAAATTTTTTTAAAAAATCAATAAAACGTATTTTTAAGAAAATAAAAAGGACTATTATTCATGCAACAACATGGATGAAACACAAAGTACCTATGCCGAATGAAGGAGGCCAGACCAGAAAGGCATGCATGCTGTGTAATTCCGTTTATATAAAAATCTACTGGACGTACTGGTGTCCAGTGATGGAAAGCAGACCAGCGGTTGCACAGGAATGGAGGGGACAGAGGGCGGAAGGGAGCGGTCCCAGGAGACAGAGGAAATGTGGGGGTGCGGACATGCTCCCTATCTGTGTTGTAGTGACGGTTTCACAGTGTATACATATGTCAAAACTTGCCAAATGACACCGTGTGCAGTTTATTCGATGTCAGTTATACCTCAACAAAGCCGTTAAAAAATAAAAGGAACCCAACTCTCAAATGCAGAAACAAACCAAGACAAAAAAAAATCAAACACTCCATGTCACGGCGCTCCAAATGGCCCACAATGCCTTGCAGCATCTGGCCCACGATGTCTTGCAGCATGGTTATCTCCTCCTCTCCCTCTTCTCTTCCTAGCACCCTGTCCCCCAAAACACAGCTCTATTTCCCCAATGCCCTCAAAGCAGGAGGGGGAGTCCTCTGCTTTCCAGCGTACCCCAAGTCCTCCGAGTGGGGCTGTCCCTGCCCGGCCCTGCTCATGGGACCAGTTGCAGAACAGCTGCCTCACACCAGAAACACTCAGCACAGCCAGGGCTCCCAGGGCCAGTGAGGAAGAGGAGGGTTCAAAGCCCAGCCTTCCAGGCCCCACCAAAATGCCACCTCCTCAGGGAATCCCCCCTTGATCATCGGGGCTGCAAGGGACTGCTCCCTCCTGAGCACCCCTGGCCGTCTCCCCCGAGCCCTGTGCACTGTGGGAGGACAGTGGGTTTCTGTTGACTCACTTGGCCATGGCCAATCTCAGAAGCACTGACCCTGGGCATTAGAGCCCACGGAATTCACTTCAGTCCCTTATTCAGGAGTCACTTACAGTGTCCCTGCTATGTGCCCAACACTATGTCAGGTGCTGCAGAGACAGACACACAACATGGTGGGCCCAGTGTCCTGGAGGAGAGGACACAGGCCCAGCGCTAAAGCTCACAGTGGGGTTTGGCAGAGAACAGCGTCAGGAGAGGCAGGGAGGACTTTCCAGACTGATGACCTAGGCCTGTGGTCGGCAAACTGCAGCTCGCGAGCCACATGCTGCTCTTTGGCCCATTGAGTGTGGCTCTTCCACAAAATATCACGGCCTGGCTCTGACTGGTTTGGCTCAGTGGATAGAGCGTCGGCCTGTGGACTAAAGGGTCCCAGGTTCGGTTCCAGTCAAGGGCATGTACCTTGGTTGTGGGCACATCCCCAATAGGGGATGGGGGCGGGGGGGTGGTGCAGGAGGCAGCTGATCAATGTTTCTCTCTCATCGATGTTTCTGACTCTATCCTTCTCCCCTCCTGCCTGTAAAAAATTAATAAAAATATATATTAAAAAAAATACCACCACCTGGGCGAGTCTATTCTGAAGAAGTGGCATTAGAAGAAGTTTAAGTTTAAAAAATTTGGCTCCCAAAAGAAATTTCGATCGTTGCCCTGTAGCTATTTGGCTCTGTGGACTAATGAGTTTGCTGACCTCTGAGCTAAGGCAGGTGACCACAAAAGGCAGGGTATGTTCCTAGCTGTATGAAAAAAGGAAGCAAAGTCAGAGAACTCTAAGTTCCCTGAAAGGGTGCCCAACCAATGCACAAGAGGAACATCCCTCCCCTTCACTGGGACCCTCGTTCTCACGCACACAGGAGCTCGGAGCAGCTGGAGTGGAGGGGGGCGACACAGGAGGGACCATGACAGGCCTGATGTAAAGTCTGCAGATTCCCCGGGAGCTCCCACTTCCTCCTGGGCCCCGAACGTGACATAACTAGCGTCTGGTGAACTCTCTTCACTGGCAAGCATCTCAGCGGGGAAGCCATTGGCACTAGAAGGATCCCGTGTAGCAGGGACAGGCTAGCATCGGGGGGACTGGGCCCATCACACCTCAGTGGGGGTCACTTCCCCTGGGTAGTTTTGGGGTGAGGAGGAAGGAAGAGGCTGGAGGCAGCGTGAAGGTAAAGACAGCTGCTGAGAGAAAAACAGCTGAAAGCAGAGAGGGCAACGGCCTAGCCCACTCAGCAGATAGCTGCCCTGGCCTTCTAGGGTTTCTCCCGGGCATGCCCTGCCCAGCTGCCAGCGCCTCAGCAGGTCTGCCTCGGTCTTACCTCACGTCTGGGAGCTGCAGGGCGAGTTCAAAATCTGACCTGAAGATCAGTGCTGACCCCCAGCCTAAGCCAGTCACGGCTGCCCATTCCCCGTGGCAGGCACTCACATCACCCAGCTCTAGCCGTGAGACATGAGGGAAATCGCACTGGGGAATGTTTTATTTGCTCTTAAAAAAATGAGAAAACCTGGCTGGTGTGGCTCTGTGGCTGAGCATCGACCTATGAACCAGGAGGTCATGGTTCAATTTCCCATCAGGGCACCTGGCCAGGTGGTGGACTCGATCCCCAGTGGGGGGCGTGCAGGAGGCAGCCGATCAATAATTCCCTCTCATCATGGATATTTCCATCTCTCCCTCTCCCTTCGTCTCTGAAATCAATTTAAAAAATATATTTTTTTAAATGAGAGAAACATGAGGAAGTGACGGCTGGCCATCTTCGGCTGCGTTTTGTCCTGTTGGGAAGTGATCACCAGAATGCTGCGGCATCTTGAGACCCTCAGGGGAGTGCCCCACACTGAGGGTGGCAGAGAGAGGGAAAGCACCTCGTCTGATGCCACCGTGGAGCTTCTGAATCAACCAGCCTGGAGCGATGGCACCTCAGCACTTCTTATCATGGGGACGAAATCTCTGTTCCTGAAGCTCTTTGAATTGGGGGGAGAGGGGAGCAGTGCTGGCAATGAAACCTCTGTCTAAGTCAAAGCAAACACAAGGACCCGGAGGCCGCCACGGAGTGAAAGGTTTGTACATCTTGTGTCACGTGGGCCATTTGACAGACTTAACACTCTCAGTCATTCATCACAGGAGAAAGCAAACCACGGGTTTGCCAAGAAAAAGTCTAGTCAACGCAGCCTCCCTTTGGAGGGGAAATAAGGGACATCTGTGATGCTTTCAAACAATAAAGATAAATTAAAAAAAAAATTTTTTTAAAAAGCTGCCTCCCATTGTTTCCGGAGGTGGGGGCGGGGGGGGGGGGCAGGTTCCTTACCATTGTTCTGAGCCAGGGCCTGGTCAATGAAGTCTGCCGCCCTCTCGAAGTAGACGCTCAGGTTGAACTCCTGTGTGTCGTTGGCCTTGATGCCCAGGTAGGTGATGCCAGAGTCCTTGTAGAAGTTGGCGTTGGTGTTGACGTGCATGAAGGACCTGCCCTCCGCAGCATTCAGGACGTGGGTGATGCCCAGTTTCTGCAGCTTTGGGATGTCCTGAGCCACAGACCTGGACAGGGGACAGCAACAGGGGATGCTTACCGGACCGACGGGCAGCCCCAGGGGGAGGAAGATGGAGACGATGCTAAGCGTCTTGGCAAACAAGAAACCCTCCGTGCTCTGGTCCTGCCAGAGCTGCTCCTCCTCACCTGGGGCTCCTCGTCCCTCACCCCCACTGTATCTCATTACCGGCAGCTGCCCCAAAGAGACTGGTTCCTGCCGGAGCTGTGCTGCCGAGAACGCCCCCTCCATGGACGTGCACCCTCTCGCTCTTCACCACGCTCGGCAGTACCACCCTATACGGTGGTGGTGGCGATAGAGCCACATGGCTAAGCATGGGCTCTGGAGCCACACTGCCTGAGTCTGAATGCAGCCATGCCACTTACCAGCCAGGCAACACTGAGCAAGTCACTGACCCTTTCTGTGACTCGGTTTCCCTGTCTGTAAAATGGGGATGATAAACGGCGCCGGACCCCTGGGATTTGTGGATTCTATTCTATAGACGGAGCCAGACACTGAATCGGTGCTCCTATTCTAACACTTGACGGTGCTCATTTGTTTAATGTCCAGGCAGGGAGCTCTGTGACGGAGGAACCGTGTCTGCTTCAGGTCTGTATGCCCAGCTCCTGCCATGGCACCTGGCATCGAGCAGCTGCCGAATGAAGAAGAAGAAGGAAGAAGAAGGAACTCGGCATATCCTGGGCTGCCTCCACCCTTGGATGGCAGCCTCCTCCCACCCCCCACAGGGGTCCTTCCTGCCACAGTCCACTAGCCACGTTGCTGAATCTTTCCTGAGTGAGTAAACACTGGGAGCCATGGCCCCAGCAGGACTTACGGGGGTGACAACCCACGTGATCTGAATAGTCAAAGGGCTCCTTTATTCCATCTCACAACAACATCCCCATTCGAACGCCGTGCCCTACAGGATCTGGGCTGCCTGTCACAGCCTGTGAGGAAGGAAGGACAGAGCGTACACTCCGGCCTGCCAGGACAGCAGAAGGGTGAGCACATGTTCACGTGGGCTGCTGAGCAGCGGGGCCGGGAAGAGACCTCCTTTCCCCGGACACCAGCTGCTCCGTCTTCCCCCTCACGCTGCCTCGCACACCCACATCACTGCCAATGCCGACGCACGGAAAACATGGCTCACCCAGGCTCTCTCTGCCCTCCAAGCCCTGATCAGGAGCCTGGTTTTGTTCAGGGGCTCCCGATGTGTGTGGGTCAATCCTCAGTCAATCCTCTCTGCCATGCGCCTGGCACGCCCCTGGCTAAGTCAAGGTCAGATTTGCTCAGAGGGCAAGGAATGTGTTTTCTACAGCGGCCGTCAGCACTAGCCACTCTGGCTACCATCACAATCTCAGTTTCCAGTTGGGAAGTGGTGACAACTGAACGTGCCAGACTGACTGCCCAAGAGATCCAGGTCTCTGAGGGTGCCAAGGCCGCTTGCTGCTTGGATGGCTGAGAGACGGTCATGCTCAGAGCTTTGCAATCACTAAAGCCTTTGGCTGTGACCCTAGGTCTACTGCCGTGAGTAGGGATAGATCAAAGCAGTGGCTCATTACAAACAAACAAAATAACTTTGAAGAGTCACTATCATTCATCTCCTTCCCCTAATGGTAATGCAACAGTCAATAAATTGACCATTATCATTACTGTCACTACTATGAACAAGCATTGTACACTGCCTAACACATAGGTACTCAATATAGTAAGTGAGCGATGCAATGAATGAGGCTGGGACCTGCCTTAGGGACCCCTTCAAGCTCCAAGATGACCCCCATTTCTGTGGCAGGTCTTGGCATCAAGTCCTAGTCCAGGATCCAGAGGATACTGACATGAGAAAGACACTGACCCTGTCCGCACACTCCCTCCACCACTTGGTCGGTTGACACTCCGTGTGTGTGTGTGTGTGTGTGTGTGTGTGTGTGTGTGTGTGTGTAAAACAGAGGAGGGTAGTTCTGGGTTTTTAAATGCAGTCCCCGGGCCCATGGTTCCTGAGGGCATTGGTAACTGGGTCCTCAGGGTCTTTGGAAAGTCAGCCTGAGCCTCCCAACACTCTGCAGGCTTGGCAGTCTGGTCTTCACCTGGGGCTGGTATTCCAGCCCCTCTCAGAACGGTTAACACTGATCTCTCCTGCTGCTGAGGATTTCTCACTAGGAATATGGCTAGCAGAACATGACAAAATCAATGTAAGAACTCGCAAGTGATAAATAATGCATTTCCTAGTCGTGAGAAGGTGGTAAGCCTTTTCTAAGGGATGGCTCAGTTCTTATAGGGTTTATCCTTGGATCATTCTAGAATCCATGTACATCAAACCCTATCTGGAAGGTGGGAGAAGGAGAGCGAGGAAAAATCCTGTCCCAGCTCTCTGGGTGGCCCCCTCATGAAGAGTATTTCCATTCCCAGATCTGGTCTGGCCCAGCCGGGAAATGGTCCACGCCCGGATTGTGATGTCAGCCCGTTGCCATGGCAGCGAAGGCAGACATTCCGCGGTGACCTCACTGCAGAACCAGGCAGCTGTCACATGACGCGCCGGCCTGCGTCCGGCCGGCCGGGCGCCCGCGGCCACCTGTTAGCGAACGCGGGAGCCCGACCCCACCCAAGGCCGAGTGCCCGGGGGGCGGCCCCCGCCCGGGCTCCGCGCGCCCCCGGAAGGGCAGGACCACGCGGGGCCGGGGCGGGGACCAGCCCCTCCGCCCCCCGCGTGGGGGTGGGCGGCGACTCCAGCCCACGCCCAGCCCATGCCCAGCCCCGGCCCAGCCCCGGCGGCTGCTTGGAAGGGGCAACCCCGCCCCGTTCCCCCCAAACCCGCAGCCGCCGCCGCCCCCTCCCCAGCCCCAGGGCGGGCGATGCGCTCCGGGGAGGGCCCCGCGGGGCTGGGGCTCGGAGCGGCGACTCACGCGTTGCCGACGTAGACCCGCGGGGTGACCTCGTTGCAGGGCTGGCTCGGGAGGCTGTAGCAGCCGCTGCCGTCCGACAGCAGGTCGTTGAGATCTTGCACCGAGAGCTCGAACGGGCCCGACATGGCGGCGTCCGGGCCCTGCACGCCGGGGCGGCAACCAGCGAGGGGAGAGCGGCCTGGTCAGCGGGGCGGGAGCTCCCGAGCCCGGGCCCGCCCCTGCCCGCCCCGGAGGCGGGTCCGCCGGCCCTGGAAGCCGCGGGTCCCCGGCGGCCACCCGCGATCGCCGCCGGGAAGGACGCGCGCCGCCCAGCACCCGGCGAGCCTCAGGATGCGCTCTGGGCGCGTCCCCCGGGGCGGAGGCGCCCGCACTCCTGCTTGGGGCGGGGCGGGGCGGGGGGCGGTCCCATCCCACCCGGTGTCTTCCTAAACTGGGAAGTGCAGTGACTCCATCAGATCCAATGCGAGCCTCAATAAAATGTTCATACGACCCGGCTACACCGAGTGCCGCTTTTTTTTTTTTTTTTTTTTTTTTTCATATTATCGGGGTTCCGCTGTGCGCTCTGACTGCCTACTGCGCAGCACGGGTCCCCCGGAGCCTGTCAGACTGTCTGCCCCTCCCTTCCCCCCAGGCCCTCGGAGTGACAATGTGCATTTTATAGGCCTTACAGTTTGAGAAGCCCGATTCTGGGCACATTTCTCTCTACATTCATTGAGGGTCCGCCTGGTGCATAAATAAATAAAGGCGTGGGCTCTGCGCAGCCAGCCTTGGCGTTCCGGCTCAGGGGAGTCGTTTACTCTCTCTGAGCCTGTTTGCTGAGAAATAGAAAAACGGGGATGATAATACTAGTTCCTAGCTCCGGGGAGGGGGTGGGGGGGCGATGGGAAGATGAAAGGCGTTTAAGGAAAGAGCCGGCACTAATGCTGAGCACCGAATGGGGGCTGGTTCTCCCTCTCCATCAGCAAGTGTGTGGAGCACCCCCGGGTGCCACGCCCTGTGCTGGTGTGGAGATGGAGCCTCAGTGGTGAATCCACAGCCGAGCAGCCGCCGGCCTGCTGTAGCCACAGAACGTCAGACAGTCGTTTCCTGAGACCTCAGTCTCTGCCCTCCCCAACTGCCTGGAAAATAGGTTCGCCTCCCCATCCACCAACCACCCCCTCCCACAAAGCAGACGTGGCCCGGGGATTCAGGAAACCCAGGTCTGAGCCCAGCTCTGCCTCTAACGTGGCTGCTGCTCTGGATTTCAGAGCAAAGGGAAGAAATTGGATCTGATTATCAGTCAGAGAATCATTCATCTCCCCTGAAAGCTTATGGTCTCACACTTTTAGGGGAACCATTGCTGTGGAGGCTACTTAGCTTATAGCCTAAGGTATGTAACCAAGGCTGGATTTCTCCACTTCCACTCCCACCCCACCCTGCCCCAGAACCCCCATCCGCCCGCCCCCGAGTGCCCCCCTCCCCCATGGTGTACCTGGTAGCATCTGCACTCGAGGCAGGTGAAAATGCTCCTGAGGTCCTCACTCCTCATCTTGGCTTGGGCCTGGGTTGGCTTTCAAAAGAGAAGCCAGGGACAACTAAGCATGCTCTGCCGCTGCTCCTCCTTCCCTGGGACCTGCCCCTGATGTCACAACTGGGTAACTATGACAACCCATCATAAGGACAGCAAAGTACCTCACAGAGAAGCCTCGCTGCCTCACTTCTGAAGAAGTGAGACTGGGAAGAGAAGATGAATTCTTCCCTGGAGTATCTAGCCTACCCTGTAATCGTCTCTAATCACAGGCAGAGCACAGACTTCAGGAAGAAACTGGACTTTGGCCATTACATATCTCACAAGAATAGGATACAAATAGGTATGTGGGCAGTTTGGGTTGGACGCTGCCATGAGGGGTTCAGGAAGGAGTCCGCCTTGGAAATGCTGACAGCAAACCAGACCAGCACGTGGCTTTGAGAGGATGTGGCCTTGCCTGCTAAGTTGGGTCAAAAGGACATTAGCATCAGTGACAAATTTTATCTCCCACAAGGGTGACAGAAATGCTTATTTAAATTCTTTTTTAACATATTTTTATTGATTTTTTTAGAGAGAGAGGAAGGGAGAGAGAGAGAGAGAGAGAGAGAAAGAGAGAGAGAGAGAGAGATCATTGATTGGCTTACACAACCCCCACTGGGAATCATGCTCACAAGCTGGGCATGTGCTCTAACCAGGTGACCTCTTGGTGTTTGGGACAACACCCAATCCACTGAGCCACACTAGCCAGGCTCATTTAAATACTTTAAGGCCAAAGTAAGATAGAAGGAGGACAAGGCTTCAGCACTCGATAGACAAGCTGGTCCTACTGGGAAAGGGTGGGAGAGAAGCTATTCCTTGGAATTCAAAGGACAGATGTCTCTATACATTTTACTTATTTTAGCCCTTACCATCCTGACCTGCTCAGAACTCCAAAGATGTCAGTTTGGGAGATTAACCTAAAACTCCTGAACTGGATTAAGGTCAGAATTCAAAATGGTAATATTTATGAACCGGGCTCCTGGTCCAGAATGCGAGCTTTCCCGAGGCGGCTGCGAGGTCTGTTGCTCTCTTTTATCCTCCAGTGAAACCTGCTGTTGATACCAAACCTCCAATGGCACAAGCACAGCAAATTTTAAAACTGGGCAAACTACAGGTATGTGTTCTTGCCACCTGCACCTGTGCCTGACTGAGTTTTACCTGGGTCCTAAAGAGGTCCCGTTTCCCAGGATCTCCTAATACCCACCTAACGGCCGGAAACTGACCACTGTCTCTCTCATAGAAAAGATGTAAAAGGCGGGTCAATCTTGAAGCTCTGAAAGGCCAGAGCCAACCCCTCCCTATCTAATTGAGACGATGGTAACTGAGGCAACTTCCCCATCTTGTAATCATGTAAATCCTTACTGGTATGATAATTCGCTTATTACCTGCCTACTGAAGGGTAATGGGTGTACCCCATAGTCTCAATAAAAGGGATGGCAAGGCCAGAGCCTAGACGCAGTCCTCCCACTAGAGGTGGGCTCCCGCCTGGCCCCCCATGTCGTCAGATTAAGTTTTTTCTACTTAAACTTAAACTTTTTCTACTTAAACTTTCTCTCGCTTGTGTGCGGCCCTTCTCCAGAACCAGAACCCGAACCCCGAACCACGTGGGGCGTGAAAGGGGTTCCCATCCCTAACCAAAAGATTCGTGAATGCCCCTCCCCAAACACATCGCCCCTCGGCTCTCCAGCTCTGCTCCCAGGCTCCACTGTGGGCCGCGGTTTGCCCTTTCCCACCATCCCAGGGGAGAGGGATGCCAGGCCAGAGTGCTGCAGCACGATGTGGCGATGATGTCATCACGGAGGGGTGGGCTTTCTCACCAGGGTGAACAAAAGAGAATCGACAAAATCGAGTATGAAAACAAGAAGCTGTGTCAGAAGATCGCGAACGCCCATCGAGGTCCTGCCAAGGTGGATTGCTGGAACGAGTACTTATCCAAGAGGTAGTGTTTCTCCTCCTCGCGTCCCTGTTCCGTGTTAGAGCAAGTTTCTCCCGCGGGAGAAGTACTGAGGGGAAGTTATCTTGAGGAATAACCAAGGAGACGATGTTAAGGAGAACAAAAACTACCAAACAGTTTCCCAGCAGGTAGGTGCGTTTGTGTCAGCGAAGAGACTAACTTCTTCAGAGTCTCAGCAGGAAAGCACTACAGACTTCTGCAAAGTGGTGACCCTCGCTGGGACTGGGACATGGGCTTCTTAAGAATCAGTTCCATAGATATTTCCTGAGCTACTACGTGCTCAGCACTGGGGTACGGAGATAAGATACATATTTCCTGATCTTAAAGACCTCAGGTCTGATGGGGGATACAGTCATGTAAACAATATTAATAATGCAATGTGGTCAGGGCTACAAAAGTGCATGTAAGAGAGGAGAGGGAGAGAGAGAGAGAGAGAGAGTGAGTGTCAGCCCGCGCCTTTTCTGGGTCCTTGTATATCTGAAATTGACTTGAAAGCTGAGGGAAGTGAGATGAAACAAAACTTGCCACCGGCCATTTGAGATTTGTCTGTAGGCAAGATCCTCCCTCATCACAGAAATCATTCTCAATCCTTGTTTCACATGATTCCTTAAGGGCGTTTACAAAATGCCACTTTTTACAAGCTGTACCCGGGACCAATCGACTGGAATCTTCTAGGGAGCAGCGGGGCTGAGAACCACTGATCTAAACCGGCCAGTGCTCTGCCATTTCCCAGGGTGCAGTCTGGTTCAGGAGGCCCACTCGGGGCCTCGGGGCTCAGGGGGGACAGCTTGCTCCCTGTGTCCAGGCAGTTATGACATCGTGACTTCATTGTCCCCATTCCCATCCAGGAGAATTTTATTTATTTATTTATTTATTTTAATATATTTTATTGATTTTACACAGAGAGGAATTGAGAGGGATAGTTAGAAACGTCGATGAGAGAGAAACATCGACCAGCTGCCTCTTGCACACCCCCCACTGGAGATGTAATGACAACCAAGGTACATGTCCTTGACCGGAATCAAACCCGGGACCTTTCAGTCCGCAGGCTGACGCTCTATCCACTGAGCCAAACCGGTTTCGGCCAGGAGAATTTTATTTTTCACCAAGGTTCTGTGTGTATGTGTTTTGTTGTTGTTGTTTTGTTGTTTGTTTTTCAGCTTAAACAGAGAAACAAGGAACCGGGACCTGGTGAGAATCACCGTGGAAAACCAGGGCATTCTGAAGAGGCTCGATGATCGCAAACCAAACTATGACCGCAAGGTGTCAGAGATGGCCTGGCAGGCACGTGGGGACTCGGGGATGATCCTGTGGGTGCTCAGAGCAGAGTCCGTCTCAGGAGGGCCCATCAACCACTGAGGGCAAGATCCTGAGAAAGGGTCAGTGAAAGGGAATAATCGGTAAAAGAAAAGCCACCCAAAGCGAACCATCCGGGAGCCAAGGATAACTCCCTGGTAGCAGAGCCGGCATGCATGTTTCAGAGAGATACCTGGTGGCGTCTTCCTTCATCCCTCCATTCATTCAGAAAGGCTGGATGTCCAAGCAAAGAGGGTGGAGGGTATACAATCCAACACGTGGTTAACATGCTTTCATTAGGACTAACCCTTCAAGGAGTGGCGGTGGTG